CTACCATGTGTTTAATGCCTTAAATTGCTGATCCTTATTCCTTTTCAATACCAAGGATCCCTTTAGCTCTTAAAGAGAGGTGAAAGAATAGCAGAGTACAGAAGGATTTTGTCTAACAGCACAGCCAATGTCATACTGGACATATCTTAGAGCTTGGCTTCAGATCAACTGAACACCATAGCTAAATCATAATCCTGATAATCTATGGATCCCGTTAGAAAAATAACTTCACCAACTCCAAACTAAGATCAGGATACTTCAGTGGGTCACTGCAGGAAACCTGGAAACCTAATTTCCAAGCATCTCTATCTCATTTTCAGAAGTCGGTGTGAAGAGATCTTTTGCAACTTCACAACAGGGAATGATAGCCACTGGTACCTGTCTCCACATGTATTTACCATAACACCTATAGGGAAACTCCTCTTTCTACACCCATGGCCTCATGCCATAGCAAAACCACACAACTCCCGCTACTGCATCCATTGCATACTTTAATGCAAACTGAGTAGAACAGACTATTTATTGACCACAAAGTAATATAATAAATATTTTCCTAAAAAATGTGAAGGGATACTTCAACAACTAAAGCAACCTGTGTCAACCAAAAACTTAATTCATATATACAAGACTAGGCAAAAAAAACCCTAAAACCTAAGAATGGGTAATGCATATATTCTTCAAAGGTTTTCTTCTTAAAGAGCAAAGGGGAGGGGTAGGGAATCAATGCATAAACCAAAAAAAATAGCAGTTGTGTATTCAAGGCATGTCTAATGAACACCTGCCCAATGTCAGCTATTCTTCATCCAACTCTCACTTGCACTACACAAACTTATGAAGTGCAACCTATACTTGTTTCTTCTCTTCCACCACACTTAGGAATGGCAGACATTTTTAGCAAGGAAGGTAAGTTCAGTTCTATAGGAAAACTCTTAATTGCTCAAATAGCAGCAAAAGTAGATATAATTTACAGCCAGATAGGTCTCGTATAAAATACGCAGTTTCTGATGGGTCTTTATCTGCTGTAATCCTCATTCTAACAAAAAGTCAACTACATATGTGTGTATGCAGCCTAGCTTCTGGCAAAACTTATTAGGCCTCTTCTCCTCAAGAGCCTTAAGCCTGAGCCTCTCAAATGATACAGCTCAAGTCAAATCAGGAAGGATGAAGACCACAAAGGAATACAAAGAACAATACTTTCTAGTCACTTGTTTGTTCTACCTTTGTAAACTGGTCCTGGTTCAGCTTCTCTTATATATGCCATTGTCCATTAATTCAGCTATTACAATAAAATGTTTCCAGTCTCTCTAATTTAGGCAAGTCCTGACACAGTGCTATTTTTCCTACATGACCCAGATGAAATCTTTTGACAGCCTTGGAACTCTCATTTATTTCCTGGTCTGGATGCCTATTCTGTGGCCCCAGAGTTACTATAGAGGAGACATACTGTGAATGGTCCCGTAGAAACAGGTGGGCAGAGTAACGGAATTCCAGCAAAAGGCTCCCCTCCTCCAACATCAATTTTTCTTTCTTCTCTATAGTATTTAACAAGTAGGCAGAAAGGGAAAGGGTGGCATACAAATGAGAGGATGCTACAAAAAGCAACTCCAAGCTTTTTAGGAATCCTCAAATCTTTTCGGCAGTTATTGGTATTTAACTGAAAAATATCTTTGGAATATGTCTTGTGTGTAGGAATGCATAAAAGATAACACCTTGCAAAAGTCAAACATATAGGTTTAATAATGTGCAACTAATGAAGATGGCTTATAAATGAAATACCACCTACACATTTAGTTCCCTAAATATATTATACTATTAGTTATTAAAGTTAGATCTATAAGTACAAATTGTCCATATGTGGGAAAGTAAATCTGTTTTTAAATTAAAGAGAAATTATTATTCTATTTCTTAAAAATAAAACTATCAGAATATAATTCAAGTGTAGCTGCTCATAGTCACTGAATAAGTTTAAATTTGATAATAAAACATTTAAGTTTCAACCAATGCACCTTTGCTGAAGCACATTTAGCTGAAATAACTTCGAGTCTGGTTTATTTCCATCACATATAGTACATTTTTCCAACAAGAGCATGTACATTCAATATAGAACATTTCCAGCAACAGTTACAGTCTTTCTAGTTTCCTTTCACAGTATATTTTAGTGCAAAGCACTGGGAAGGGTAAATGTTTTTCTAGCTATAGAATCATTTTATTAAGACCTTGTGGATCTTTAACATTTTAAAATTTTATACAAAAAGTATATAGATGGACAGGGTCCCTCCTAAGTACAGGTGTGAACCTATATAAAAACATGGTATATTTTCTGCTGTACCTTTTATAATTTGACACAAATAACTAAAAAATAAAATATTCCCTAAAAAGTACAAAGTATTGATACACAAAAACCTGCCCAAAATTTCATAAAGATAGATGTACTTCAGTTTTTTCTAAAATCTTGATTATAAAAATGGACAAGAATTCATCATTTTCTAAATTTACAGTAGGAATCAAATATTATCTAAAGTGGTCCTTTAAGATTTTTCTTGGGAGGAAAAAATCAGGGTTTACACCCGCATCTTCGTTTTGTAGCAATATTTAAGGAAATAAACTAGTATCATAAGAAGTGGTTGTGCATGGATTGTCTGCATCCATAAAATATCCGTAAGCTATTTATTACCTTCATATTAACATCAGTAAATGTGTGGTCTTTAAAAAAATAGAAACTGAAAAATTAAGTTGCATCTATCATTAAAGTGCTTTGTATAAAATTTAAAGAAAAATAGGGGAATGTTTAATTTTCATAAAAACCTATGTTTACAAGTGAAAAATGTAATGATCCATGCATGAAAATGAACTGGAACTTTCCTGTAGTATATATTTTTGAATGAAACTTTCAAACACTTAAGTGCTGGAGAACAAGCTAGAAAAAAATGGATGTAAAAATAATTACAAATATTTAGTAGGCTAAATATTTATAATGTGTTGATACTATTTTGTCTTTTGTTCCTAACATACACTCACTAGAAAATCATTTATCTATACAATTCAGATGAAAATTTTGCCAAATAAAGTGAAACAAAACTAAAATCACTAAGATATAAAGTCTTTGTCAATTAAAAATTGCTATTTCTTCAGGTTGTTGATCACTTAATCAACAAATTGTTTAGAAAACAAAATTTGTAACATTTTTGTAGAAACTGTAGACCAAACGCACAAGGTCAAGGGTGGTTAGCTGATGGGCTGTGATGACAACATGTAATGTCACAGCTACTTGAAAGTGCTGGAATAGGCAGTGCCTTAGAAACAAGTGGTTAGATGGTTACTATTTTAGTCAGAAAACAGCAGTTATAGTTGAATATTTAGAAAAATGTTTTTCTTTTTTTCCTCATAGTACCATTTGAAGATGTTTAGTGGTTCTAACACCAATTTAAAGTCTTTCCACAAAAATGAACTCCAAACCTTTTCGTACATCACTTGAAGTTATCTGAGGAGAAATGGGAATAAATGAACACTTTTGAGTTTACCAATAAAACCTTGTTTTTAAAATTATGCAACAGTAAATTACTTCTAAAAGATGGTTTCATCTCAAGTTCTCCACACAAATTAAAAAAATGTGAGATAATCAATCCACAACATTTAACCTACACAGCACTCAAACTAGTATTTTGCTTTAGAACCTGAATCTGAAACTAACTTAATACTCATAAATACATTAAATGTCTTAATACAAGGGACACAGGTATAGAAGGTAAACTTTTAAAATATATATAGACTTGAGAAAACAAGTACAGGGAGTCTACTCATTTTTGTTGCATTTTTTAAAATCTACATTTGTTCCAAAACCTTCTTTAAAAAGAATATTTTTCAGCCGGGTGCGGTGGCTCATGTCTGTAATCCCAGGACTCTGGGAGGCCAAGTTGGTAATATCGTCTGAGGTCAGGAGTTCAAGAGCAGCCTGACCAACATAGTGAAACCCCATCTCTACTAAAAACACAAAATTAGCCAAGCATGGTGGCACATGCCTCTAATATCAGCTACTTGGGAGGCTGAGGCAGGAGAATTGCTTGAACCTGGGAGGCGGAGGTTGCAGTGAGTCAAGATCATGCCATTGCACTCCAGCCTGGGCAACAAGAGCAAAACTCCTCTCAAAAAATAATATTTTTCTTTTTTCCAAATAAGAATTTTATTTTTCTTACAACACACAACCACAAAAAAATCCCTAGTTAATAATATTAACTATGTTAAAATGATCACCAAAAAGGTTAGTAAAAAGTGAGGGAAAAATAAGAGTATCTGGAACCTAGGCAAGCATTGTTTCCATAAATCAAAACTAAAAAACAGTAACTAACATATACTCCCAAGAGAAGGGAAAAAAAAATTCAAACTTCTGTTTACCAACTTTCCCCCTTTGCCTAGAAGCACTATGTTAAAAGTAAGTGATAAATGCTAATCATTTTTAATTCAATTTGGGGATTTTTTTCTTCTTCTGAGTGCAGCACTTTATTTAGCCGTCACAGATTAATTTTTACAATAATTACAGTGCCTCGAAAGATTTTTTCCCTATAATTATCACCTTCACAAATTCATTCTAATATATTTAACTTTCCTACAATTCATTAATTAGTAAACTAAGTCACTAAATCAAATTAAACCTGTGCAAAGTTAGTTAAACAGAAGATTTCTATTGTAAACATAAACCAATATAAATGTATATATTTTACAACATTAAAAGGAAAGCACTGACCCTGTGCCATCTACCTATAACTACATTGCATTGTCCTGTGGAAGGTAAGTTCTGAAGTTAACTTTTGTTCCCAAGCCACTGGAATAAAGGTCACTGAAGAGGTAAATGCAATATGCACATTACTCTTGCAGTTCCCATTGCCATGAGATATATGGAAGCAAACGTGTGTTAAAATGGAACCAGCTATAAATTATGGTCAAATGATTTTTTTTTTAGTTCGATGGGGGAAAAAAAGCAAAACTCTGTAACTGTTCCTCACCAGACAAGAGCCTTAGATCTTGTACTTCGGCCTTTGGTTTTGTTTCCTTCAGGTGAATTGGAAGCATTTGCCTTATGAGTTTTCTTATGATGTTCAAGATAAGTCTTTTTGGCAAATGCCTTTCCACATTTATTGCATCTGTGAAGAGAAAAGTTTTTTGTGACTTTTACTTCAATACCAACGTCAGCTACTTCATACTTTTTACTAGGAGAGTTAGAAGTGCCATCATGTTTTGAATCACTATGTTTTGCTTCATCCCTCGAAGGGCCTCTTTTTGCCACTTTATTTAGAACAAAATCAATGGGCTTTTTTATAGCTCTGATCTCTAAACTGGCTGTTATTTTCCCAAGATAACGAGATGACTTTTTATGAACCACAGTTATATGTCGTATCACATCGCGTTTCCGACGAGTTTCATAAGTGCAAAGAGGACACTTGTAGAATTTAACATAAATGTTATTTCCATCTGTGTGCAACTCGATGTGTTTAGTCAAGTTCTGTTTTGAAGTAAACTGACGTTTACAAAGTTTACAGTAAAGTTGCTTAAAGTCAAAGCCAGCTGAAAGTTTTGGTTTCCTGGTTTTTTGCTGGCCACCTGCAGCTGACGGACTAGTTGATTTAGGGCTTTCAGAGTCTTGTTTAACTTTATTTTTCTGTGCTGCCGGTATGTTCTTTTTTTCATTTGAATGATTTGTTCCCTTTAATTCATTCTGTGGAGAATGGGTAATGGAAGGGGGTGAAGATTCTACAGAATCTGCTGGTTCAACTTTAACTTTTATTTCTGAACTGTTGGCAGTATTATTAGGGCCTTTCTCTCTTTTAGAGTTTGTTCCAGAAAGAGTTATCTTGTGGACAATTTGCATATGTCTTTTGAGCATTATTTGTGAACTGTATTTCCTCTTGCAAAGGAGGCATTTGCATGCAGTTAAATTGTATTCAGCCTTTGAAGACGACTTTTGTTTTCGAGTCTTAAAAGATTTTTTAGCAGAAATAGAATCCAAGAACAAAGGTTGCCCAGGCTTTGTTGCTATATCAGGAGTAATTGAATCCCTCCTTAGTCCTCTATGAACTTCATCAAAATGCCTCCTTACATTCGCTTTTGTAGCAAATGATTTACAACATACTGGACAACTCCTACTTAATGGAACTAGAACATTCTTATTGCGTCCTTTAGAGGATTGGTTTGGATTCTTTCGTGTTTCAATGTACTTTTTTAGTTCTTCCATCTTTTTCTTGTGTACTTTTCGAATGTGACGGCGAACACTTCGTCTAGAATTGAATTCTTTTCTACAAAGACAACATATCAACTGGTGACCAAAATCAGAATTGTCAGATGTTTCCAAGTCAGCCTGTGACTCATGAAGCTGTTCATCAGATGTAGGTGCAACTTCATCTGTAACAATCTCAACAGGAGGGGGCTCTACGGTTTCCACTTCTGTATCTATAACCGGTACTGTTTTTGACTGTTCAGTGCTAGTTTCCTGTATTTGAACTTCAGTTTGTTCAGGAGTACTGCTTGATTCTGTGACTTCAATAGGATTATCAGTCCTTGAAATATATTGAAACACTGCATTTTGATTAGTTTCTATGGGTTCTAGCTTAATAATATATTCTCGTTTGTCCACGCTTGGATATATGGCTTCTAGGAGATCACTTATGGCTTGGCTTTGTTTATCATTTACATCAGGAAGGTCTGTTAAGGAAAAAACAACATTTTAATCTGAAGTAATTAGCCTGCTCTAGCCCTCTAATATTTTTAGATATATTATGAACCTCTATCTCAGAATCTATTACCAGTTTAGTTTTATAAGAGCATTATCTACTTTTCAGTATTTTACAAAGACAAAAACTACTATTAAACTAAAATGTCCTTTAAATTCTCATCATAATATACAAAAATGTTAAGGAATATATACAATCTGAAGGGCTGCTTTTGCTTCAAATGCCCTTAATATAAAATATATAAGCACTTACACGTGTCCTAAACAATAAAAATGATATTTCATATTTTTCATCTGAATATTTTAGACTACCAAAGGCAACTCAAAGTTCTTATAACCCATGATTGACAAAACAGCATGAAAAATGTTACTACATAAACAAAAATGGTATTTTTTAGAAAACATAACAGCATTCCTATCAATTTAATCCGAAACAGTCTAATCTAATCTAGTCTATTTGAGCATCTTATGAAAATCAAAGATTTGTAAGCAAACACATAAACATAAGTGGCATGATGTGTAGAAGTATTTGCTAAACTCAGTTCTATTACATGTCCTCTTAAAATGACACAATTTTACTAAAACAAATGATTAAAAACTTTACAGATTTATTTAAAAACTAGAGGTAGTTTTATTTTCTTGTACAATAATCACACCCTCTACAGGCAATCAAATATCCTATTGTAACAGCGTTGTCTAACACTGGTTCCTTGTATTACACTAAAATCTAGCTACAAATCTAGTACCAAATCTGGTATCTATACAAATCAGGAAGTGATTCATTACAGCTCTTCTAGTCTATTCATCTGTCTTTTAAAATGAATAAAGTAGTGCCTATAAGAAAAATACTTTCACAAAAGTATTTCTAGAATGAGTATTGCCAAGACAAGTGCACAATAATCTAGCAAATCCATTTATCCATTTCACTCTGTAAGTTAACTCTATAATAAAAAATAATAACTATTAAAAGATAAACTAATTTTCTACTAGTATTTTAATTAAAAGCTTAGATTTGAAATGAATCTCTATAGACTGCTTTTTAATTTAGATCTCAATGAGAAAAAGAACAGTAAGATCAAATAGTAGGAAAATTTTTCAGATAAATATGAAGTATGAAATTTTTATTTAATCAATGCCCTATAATACACTTTAAGTCAGCTTCGTTATAATTAAAGCCATACTTTGTTATTTGGAGATTGGATTTCATACCCATCCCTAAAAGGTTAAGTTGAAAAATGCACAAAATCCACAATGCATCTATGGTATCAGACTGACAAAGCAGGTTCTACATTTTTGTAAGTCAACAAAGAGTTAAATCCCTAAACTAGAAATACTAAGGTAAACCATTATTGAATAATTTTTTAAATTTACATTAATTCTTTAAAGAAAGAAAAATAATACCATTAGATATACTGCTAACTTAATCATACAGAGACAATACACAGCATTCAAAACCAACATTCTAGTCCAGAAAGACTTTGTATTAGTCTGCTATCTGCCTTTATCACATAAAGTTATTTTGGATCTCAAGTTAGCCTGCAACATAATGTAATTTCTGAGAAAATGACTTATCTAAATTTTTCTGAGAACAAAACTGACCTTCAAAGCAAGACCTAGAAAATACTAGAAAGATTAATAAAGACTTTTTAATTCTCTCCACCATTCCAAAGAAATGAAAAAATTTACCTCATTCTTTGCTCTTTATTCCAAACCTTCTCATTTACTTAAGGGAAATCTAAATAAGTGATCAATCACATCTGATTGCAAGTTGTTAAAAAATAAAGACATAAAAAGTAATATAAACTAGAAAATCCACTTATGGCCCATATAAACATTCTAAAACAATATCTAATATTTTAATACAAATAAATATCCTCAAATCTAACCACTTATAGGTCATCTTTAGGAAATTTCAAGTGGAAGGCATTGATATGAAAGTATCTAAAAACTGAATATAACATTGAGTCAAGTATTTAATTTTATTCTCCATTTCCATCTAAAAATTATCTGTAACTAGACATTATCAAATTATCAGTAACAAGATACCATTTCAATGCAAATTTATAGTTGCACTGTAAGAATACTTAGCTGTAAAATGCCTAACTGAATATATGAATAAAACTTACTGTCATCCATCTGGAGACTTGGTGGGCAGTAGAATTTTTTATGGGTAATTAAATTTGGTAATCCTCGGAAGAGACTGCGGCACAACTTACATTCAAAAATAGTGTCCACATCTTTTAATAAAATATGCTTAAGTTGTTTAGTTCCTGAGACAGAGAAAAAAAGAAAAACTTAACACAAAATGTAACTTTAACATGCACTTTTAAACTGGACAACCACTGCTGACAATCCAAAAGTGCAGTTACTATTTGACAACAAATTATAGGCATTGCCAATTTCTACCACAGTATATTTAGAACCAAGTTACAGACTAAATTCTAAGCAAAATCCTACTATCATTTGGAAATTAGGACAACTAAAATTGATGCCTCTTTTCCACTTCAGCAGCCAATCAATTGTTGATATATCCCAAGGCAGTGGTTCCGACATGAGGTTGATCATTACAATGAGCTGGGAATAAAGATATGTGTAGCCCTGCCCTAGAGGTTCTGATTTAATAGATCTGGAGTAGGGCAGAAAAATTAAATGTTCCCCCATTACTCCCTGCCAAACTTTTGGATTGTGCTTTCAAGCTCTTTTCTGTATTAGGAAGTAAGCAAGTTTTTTAATAAATTTTCCCCTGATTCCTTAAAGAATGTCAAAACTGTATTACAGGATTGCCTGTGACTTTTCTTTTTAAATTCAGCTCAAATTACTTCAAGTTCTGAGCCAACAATGGGATTATGCCTATTTCGTGTGATGCTCCACAAAATAGAGAATCTTTGTCCATACTAAGAAATAATTTTGAACTTTGCTTAGGCCTCTTGACAGCACTATAAATTTATTAAAAGCCTTTCTCCCTTAAAATATCCCAATTACAATTAAGTATTGATATAACTACTAGTTTAATGCTTACCTTCTCTACTAAATTATACATTCCAAAGCAGCCAAGAATAAGCCTATCTTACTTACAAGTGCAACGTGTTCAGCTCCTGTAATGCTCAAAATCTATTTGTTGAAGAAACGCTACTATCTAGGGAATCTAAGTACTATGACAGAATATCTTTAGGCAGAGAAAAAATAAATGGCAAAAAGTACCCAATCTTTAAAATAAAAACATCTACCAGAAATAAAATACAAACGGAAGGTCTTCAGTCACTATTTTCCTATAGCTCTTTGCCGCAGGTAAGTTGGCAAAACTGATCTGCAGTACTTTACTAATTAATGTGCCTTTACTTTCCTCAAATTAAAAAAAAAATTTTAATGACATTATATTGACTTGAACAGGAAAAGCCCAAGTACCCAGAAAAATATCCTTAAGGTTGTGTAGGTGCAAAGTGTTGTTTCATTTAAGACGCATTTACCTGTCTATTAAGCTCTGGGGCATTGCTAAAGAGTATAAGGTATCTTAGTAGTATAATTAATATTGTAGGGTCTGTAAGAGTTAAATAAAATAGTTCAGATTCAATCTTTTGCAATCTGTTTACATTTAATCTTTGAAGTGTATTTTATCATTTTGAAGACAATAATAAAATCATTTTCCCCATCCCCTAAAACACACACACACACACACACACACACGCACACGCACAGAGAGAGAGAGAGAGAGAGAATTATTGTTGATCCAAGCATTCAATATCCTACTGCGAAAAAGTTACTAGGTTATCACAACTTTACTACGTCTTTAGAGATTCCAAACCTGATATTATCTACTTGTGTGACCTTAAAGAGCTTTATAATCTTTACACTTTGGTTTACTCACGTTATAAAATAGAACAAACCTAACCAAACCTATATTGAAGAATTATTAAAGAAAATATGAACCTAAATCCCAGAGAAATTATATACTTGAGTTTCTACTGGAAAAAAAAAATGTATAGAATGAAATAATTTCTTTCATTTCCCAAATCCAAATCTATGTTTACTCCACTAGTCCTTACTACAAAATCAGAAAACATAAATTTAAAAAGATTCAGAGAATAGCCTGAGTGTTATTGTTTATATGAAAGTAAATTCTCATATATATATTTCTGAAGTCCATTTCATATTACAAAATACCTTGGCAAGGACTGCTAATATGGTTAGTTCATAGTTAACTTCGTAAGTGAATGACAAACGATGAGAGGTAGAATGATTTAAAAATGCTTTGGTTAAGGCTTTCTAATTGACCTATACATAGCTCTCAGGAAGTGTAGGTGAGTATAATAGCAGTGGGAAGAAAACAGGAAACTTTTGCACACGGATTCTAAACTATAAAACCTGCCAGACAGATTCAATTCTGTCTTTAGGATAGTCAAAAAAGATTGAAGAGGAAACAGAGATAATCTGAACTAGGTTTAATTTAAGAATTAAACTTAAGATTTAAATAAGATGCTGTACGTGGCGGCAGATTTAAAGCATAAAATAATCAGTCTGTAAACAACATGAGATTATACATAAAAAATAGTCAAGTGAAAAATATAAAACTGTATCCCTAAATCAGACATATCATTTTGTCTACCAGGTTCTCGATCACAGAAAAATAAAGACACTATCAATTTCTTAATTAGTCTTAATTATACAGTAAATTATATTCAGTAGGGACTGTATATTTATTCTCAATAAACATCCAAAAATGGTATTTTCCTCTAACCTTAACTAATTAGTCTTAATTATCAATCACAAACGCTTCCCCCAACACACATACACACACACACACACACACACACACACACACACACACACACACACACACACTTTCTCTCTTTCTCCCTCTCTCTCTCTCTCTCTCTCTCTCTCTGTGTGTGTGTGTGTGTGATTGTCGATCCAAGCATTCCAAATTTCTTTCAGGTCCACAAAATGTTCTCTTTCCCTCCCTTTTCAGGCCTTCACCTACGTTTTTTCCTCCCTGACTACAATGTTCTCCCACTTTCCTGATCTGACTCATTTCTAATAATCCTTAAGATCCCAGGTTAGATGTCACTTCCTCCAGGAAGCCGTCAATGACATCTTATCTGCTTTGTTGTTGTTATTAAAAATCCTTCATCTATATTCTTATAGCATCCTAGAAATCTACACTAGCTTATCCTACTATTTTGTAATTACTTTTCCATAACCCCATTAAACTGGAAGATTAGAACAGAGAAGATATCTCTGATGCTCAACATTACCCCAGCCCTCAGGATAATGTGTGATTAACATTTGCTAAATGGCATATTAGAGAGCTCTATGTTTTAAAAAAAAAAAACTTCTCTAAAAATAAGATTTTTTAAATCTACATGAAGTTAACGGAGAAGTCAAAAATGAGATATTAAAACTCTTCTAATTCTACTTACATATTTAACAAATGAGAAAAATAAGATGTGTCCCAGTCCACAAACAGATATTAAAAGTTTTTCCCTTAGTTTCAGTCACCATTTGAGATTTTGTTATGTTTTTCCCATGGGGATGGAACAGCTTTATTCAAAGTTGGCTATCATATTCTGATTGCTCTGCTCACTTACAATTGGACACAGCCAGTTCTAAGTGCCTCTGTCAATAGCTAGCTAAAACTTCCTGTCACTTGAGACAACAGACGTGGTCATCTAGACAGCAACATAAAGTTCTTCCACTGCTCTTGATGCTGAGAAACAGACAGCAATGCTGCCTTCCTTCTTCTTTTCTTATACTGCTCTCTTTCTTGCCTTAGGTTTTTAAATTATCTTAGAAATCACCACTTACTGCTTACATAGATCAGTACCTTTCAAACATCCAGCCCTCCAAGGGAAAGGCTTGTGATAGCTAAAGATTAATGACTGTATATTCCAGATTTTCACACATAATAGGTGTTCAATAAAAATTAGTTAAATTTCATCAAGTGTTTACCTTGTGTTATTCTTTAATGGCAAGTGCATTGCATGTACTGATGAAAATGTTTAAAATATATTTTCAAAAGGAATCAGTACACAGTTTTACATTACGTTGGATGGCAGTCACATTACAATATGACAATATTAATTCTAACTCTTCTATCCTAGAAAAAGACAAGGTTTCATTTTCTTCCTTAATGCACTGATATTTTGGTCAACACCCATTTTAACTGATGACAGGAATACTTCTTAAATGGTATACTGCTTGCCTACTACTGGCTCAAACATAAACTCAATCTTATTTAAGATGACCACTTAACTACAATATCATCCAAACATTGCAAGCAAGTAAATGTGTGTTCCTTATCACAACTCCTGAAGGAAATTTCTTACTGATTATCCCTTAACATAAGGATTTGAATATGCAAAGAAAACTTAAGAAATTGAAAGTTTTATCCTAAAACTATCACCTATAAGGGTTGGTTAAAAAAATATGTTAATTATAGAGCACTGCCACATACCACAATCAACTTATAAGTAGAATAAAATTATCTTAGGACAGTGCCCAGTTGGGGAATCTTTTGGTTTAACCTAACAAACGCTTATTGAGCACACATCAAATACCAGGTACAATGTTACTCATCGGAAATAAGAAAGATACGTTCTGTGCCCTCCTGAGAAACTCACAGACTAATATAAATGGCTGTGGTCTTGGGAACGTAACACCAGACGACATGCTTTGAATCTGAATGTAAGAACAACAAATCAAACAAATCTACTTTTTTCTTATACAAAAAACAACTAGTCCCATTTTAAATTTCCTGTAACTGCTACACAAGAACAAAAAAGGAAAAATTCATCATAGGTATGGCACTGTCCTATGTACCTCAGAAAAATCACATCCACCTTATGCTTTGCCTTCAGAATCAGGACTGAAGCGTCACCACTCAGTCACAGCTTAAACTAACTGCAGTTAAAGCTGTTTTAAGCAATTAAAAGAAAAGCCTAAGAGTTAAATGATCAAACCTAAATTTAGAAAGATAATGACAGTGGCTGGGCGCAGTGGCTCACGCCTGTAATCCCAGCACTTTGGGAGGCCGAGGTGGGTGGATCACGAGGTCAAGAGATCGAGACCATCCTGGTCAACACGGTGAAACCCCGTCTCTACTAAAAATACAAAAAATCAGCTGGGCATGGTGGTGCATGCCTGTAATCCCAGCTACTCAGGAGGCTGAGGCAGGAGAATTGCCTGAACCCAGGAGGCGGAGGTTGCGGTGAGCCGAGATCGCGCCATTGCACTCCAGCCTAGGTAACAAGAGCGAAACTCCGTCTCAAAAACAACAACAAAAAAAAAACAAAAAAAAAGCAACAAAAAAAAGAAAGATAATGATAGTAAACACCACACGAAGCTAATTCTCATTTTTCATTACCATACTATCTAAGTTACAACTTATTCCTCCATAGAGTGAAAAAAAGATAGAGCTCCCTGCACGTACTACTCTAGCATATTCTAGGCCTGGTATCTCTTTGTCTGCTTAACTTGCAAGTTAAGCTAAATGGGTTTTCTTTTTATAATAAGTAATATATGTTTGTGGTTTTAAATAGTAAAGTACAAAAGGTTTATAGAATCTTTTCTACAAATTATACATTTCTCTTCTTACAATATTATATATTACATGAATTTCAAAAGAAGATGTTAGCTTCATATTAAAGACCAGTCTTGAATACTGGACAAAATCATTTTTTATCTTTCTAACCACAAGGGCATTCCAAAGTTCCTTTGCTTCTACCAGACAACTAAGAGATTCTGAAAGAATACTAAACTCAACTAAACCAATTTAATAAATACATAAAAGATATTTAATAAATATGTAAAGGTAGTGTACTTTTTAATCTCCTATTTAAAATTTTGTTTAGTTTGGGGAGAGAGGTCAAACAGGAAGGAAGATAAAGTGTTACAGAAAGGAGGGGAATTTGAAGACACCAAATTACAAACATGATCCTAGCAGGATGACACAGCCAAAGCAAGACTACACAAAGGGCAAAGCACAGTCAAGGTAGTACCAGAAGCCAGGGCTTCAGAGCAAATAGCAGGTCTCAAGTCAGCCAATCGTCAGGAATTTCTGAGTAGAAAACTGCAGCTGCAAAACAGGCAGGCTTTATCTAGAGACTGATGTCAAAAATAGTTGACTCTACAGTCAATAAAGCAAAGGTACAGAAGAGTACGCAGAGTGAGCTACCATTTGTATTAAGAAGAAAATGAGAGATATATGTTTGTATATGTATAAAAAGGTCTCTGGAAGAAGGCACATAAACCATGTAGCAGTGTTGCCTGAGCAAAGCGGAGCTAGAGGACAGAATAGCATAGAAACTTACTTTTTCCTCTATAACCTTTTGTACTTTACTATTTAAAACCCCAAACATATATTACTTATTATAAAAAGAAAACCCATTTAGCTTAACTTGCAAGTTAAGCAGACAAATAAAGAGATACCAGAAGTCAATAAAAATTTGTAATTTAAATCCAAGAAAACATTTCAAAGCAAAAGCTGAAGCGTCAGGCAAACAGAATGGGTTAAAACTGGTCAAGCAGTCAGTATAGCATACATGGAGTGCTGGACATTAAAAATGGGTCAGCTCTTTCCTAAGACAGAACCTTTTATGAACTTCCAGCTTGCACAGGAATTAATACCTGGTCATAGACAGCCCCGTGTAGGCAGAGGAAGGTGAGACACAAAGGAGATGATACAGCAGCTGAAGATAACTAACTGAGCTTGAAGATAAAGGTAGCTAACCTAACATATTACTACTGCTCAACCTGATTTATACCCTGTAGGTTAACAGATGCAAAAGCATGGACTCCATCAGGATTCCATCTTCAAATATCTGTCAAAGATATATAGCACCACCAGGATAGTTCTTTAAATGCAATGTGTGTGACCTAGTTGTAGTGGAAAGAACCTAGAAATAGATGAGTCATTGAGGGTGTGCTTGGGAGTAGAGTGGAACAGGGAAGAACTGACAGAGCCTCACAGCTAGAAGGGACCTTACTTCCCAAGTTATGCAGTCCAAGCTTCTGTAGCATTCTCCCAAGGTTTTAGTCAGTCTCAGCTTAAACACCTTAGTGATAAAGAAGAGCTACCATAGGAGACTTTAGATTAATCAGAAATGCAACAGATCACTATCTTGAAGAAATTAAAATTTCTTCGTTACAGGATATAGTAATGAAGTAAAATAATTCTTTTTTTAATCCAAAATTAGATTCTGTGTACCACTCAGCGTATTTCTAAATTACCTCTAATTAGAACTGTTGGGTACTTAGAAAGTTAAAATAATAGTATTTTCAGAATTTGACTAAATAAAAAATAACTTGAAAGGCAAATTTGCTGATATCATTTTAAAAAGATCACAATTCAAAAGGTCAACATAAAATGGCTTTGGAATTATATACCATTTCAGATTGCCCATTTCACTGCCTCACTTCTTTAGCTTAGAGAGTAAAAATATGACAAACACAGAGAACAGATATGATCACAACACAAGAAGAAAATGATTAATTTCATCTTTAAATATTTGCTTTCTAAAATTAAAAAAGGTTTTTGGAATCTTTTTAAATTTTGTACCTATAGAGATTTTGGATACAGATTCTTGTTGAAAAGGCATTTTTTTTTAACAAGTCATAGCACTTATGACTTAATGAATTCTAAGTTTCTTAGTCAAAAAACACTGACACAGTATAGCTTAATTAATTCTGAATTATAAATTTTAAAAAAGAAACCTATAAGAAGTAATATTACTAAATATGAAACGCTATTGCTCTCATTTCCATGGTATAACAACAAAAAAAAACTTTTAATCTCTATTTGAAAAGTAGCTAAAACAAACAGAAACTATTTTTTCTGTTATGCCAGAAATATACTGTCCCTAATGAGTAAAATTCTATTTTAATTGAATTTATCACAGGAAAATCTGACCCATAAATTGTCAGTTGAGGGCAATTATCAAAAGTAAAAAACAATAAAAAATCCCTAAAATAGTTTATACCACCATCCAATATAAGGATAGACAGTTGGTTTACACTCAATACTTACTGAATTAAATATAGGTAAAAGCAATACCATGAGTACTACAGATGAAAAGTCTAAGAAATGGATCTTTTGGAGAGTCAGAGAAAAAATAAATGTTTTAATTTAGATTAAGGGATAACCTATTTCTTACAATCCTGAAGTAAAGCAAACATATGCTTTCCCCTTGTATAACAATTTAAAAACAAGCATCTCAAAAAATTTCTCATGAATACACAAGTAGTTACATATGAATTATTTTTTCCTTTGAACCTCAGAAATTTTTCATTAAGATAGTAAGATTTAAAATAAAATGACAAGATATTCTAATCCTCTAAGTGTCCATCAGTTAGATATCCAGCAGTTATATTTATTGGCTTGTCCACATTTGAGTGAATAGTCTGTAGTATCAGAGAAGTCAAATCTACAAGAGGTGGATAAGTGGATCATAGAAATACAGCAACCTAACATTTTACTGACAACATAGGAGTGCTAACAGTTCCCAATCATTTTACATGTTGTAAGTAACACCTGTTTTTAAACACTAGATTGCAACTACACAATTATATTTATTATAAAGCTAATTCTTATTATCAGCTAATAAAAATAAAATCTAAGCAAATGTATCTGAAGATATCAGGGCTGGAATATTGTCTTTCTTCTATCTTGTGCTCTATTAAAGATGCCAAAACTCCACAAACTCAGGGGTTAGGGAGAAGAAAATGAATCACATAAACAGAGATAAGGTAATTAACCTAGAACAAATGACTTCTCAGACATTCTGAGTAATCTACTATACCAAAGCTCATGAAAACCCAGAATAATTTACTGTCTTTTGAGAGTTTACACAAAACATGCCAAAAGATATCAAGGGATCCTTTAAGAAGTGCTTTAACAGAAAATACACCACATAATGTATTTCTTTAAATCATACTAAACAAATTTATTTTAAAAAGAATATACCACATATAGTACTGAAGAATAATCTCTAAACCATGTTAATATTTATATATCCAATTTTAAATATGAAAAATTTAAGTATTCTATAAAGAAAACCAACATATACATTTTAATGTTTTTTAAAAATTATTTCTAAAGACTTCTACGTAGTTTTTAACTATTATGTGATGATTGAAAAATATATCCTAAAACATTCATACCTGATCGAAAGCACTCAATTATTTGTTGAATACCAGATTTGGATGTCTGTAGTGGTTGCTGTAACAAAGGAGGATCTCCAGGTTCCAGGATATAAACTACATGGAAGACAAACACCCATCCCAATCCCCACAGAAAAAGGGTTATTTAAATCAATTTACTATTAAAGTAAAACAATGGCTTGCTACAATTACATTAAGGATAATCACACTTGTGCCCACACATGCGCACACAGACATATATATAATATGCAGATACATATAATTTTAACCATCTTTATAAGGCAAAATGAAACATGGAGAAAAATGCTAAAACTATTCTCAAGTAAAGGCTAAATTAAAGCTACTTAAGGCTACATATTAGGTTTAAGTACAAATACCTTACTATTTTGGTATTATTTAGTACACATTCTTCATGTTTGCCTTCTTATTCCCCTTGAAGAGGAACCACTATATTTAATAAAAATTCTAAGGCCTAGCCACACTTCATAAATCATTCCAAAATCCTCCGGATAATCTGGTAAAACTCTGGACATTTATGAGCAAAAAGTCAAAACCCACTGCCTATGGAAATAACTGAACAAGTGCACAAAGATGGATGCAGAAGAATGTTCACTGTAATGCTCTGAAGCACTGAATAGAATTGAGAGAAATTTCAAACACTTTAAAAGTCTCTTAGCAGTGACCAGATCAAATAAACTATGAAATGTCCATATGACAGACCTTCTCATGGCTGTTAGAAAGCATGAGTTAGTTCTACTTGTATTTACAACAAAGGATGACAATAATTGTTAAGCAACAAACACAGGTTATAGAATATGATCTCATTTACATTAATACATAGGTAGATACAGAAATACATAAATTTAATACATATTTGTATATTTGTATAAATGTTGTTAGGGTGGGCTTTTAGGAATGATGTTTGCTTTCTGCCTCACACTCCAATGCTGCTTCAAAGCCTAGCTTTCAAAATTATGCATTTTAGAAAGAACACATTTTTACAATAAGTAAAAATAATCTTTCCATTAAAAAACTGTTTAACTCATTTTTATATAGAGAGGTTTATATTATCCCAAATGCCAAAGATTCTCAGATTAGCAGTATAGTTATAAAATAAATTACAGTAATATGAATAAAGGCAACAGAAAAGGAAAACCGAGCTTCTTCATCAGCTATCAAATAGAGAAGGCTGTGATGGAGAAAAACTCACCATTTTAATTATCTCTTTTTTAAATATGCTATAATATTCTACTCAACTATGACCGTTGTAATGCAGGACCACCTGCTTAGTGTGAGGAGAAATGAAGGCTGATTTCAATGATGTACACTACTCTTGCTTCAGGGTTTAGGCTTAGCCAGTACTTAGCTTTCTGATAAGGGGGCAAAACTAGCCTATTGTACTATGTATATAGATACAGGCTTAGATTCACCTTTATGCTTCAAGACTAGTGCTCAGTGTACACAAACAGGAGGAATGATGTTTCAGGACCAACTTATTTCATCAAGCAAAATTTCCCCAATTTTAAGAGACACTTGGCCTGGTGCAGTGGCTCAGGCCTATAATTCCAGCACTTTGGGAGGCTGACACAGGAGGATAAATTGAGTCCAGCAGCTCAAGACCAGGCTGGGCAACATGGCAAGATCCCATCTCTACAAAAATACAAAAATTAGCCAGGCATGGTGGCTCATGCCTGTAGTCCCAGCTACTTGGGAGGCTGAGCTGAGAAGATCACTTGAGCCCAGGAGGCAGAGGTTGCAGTGAGCTGTGATCACACCACTGCAATCCAGCCTGGGCGACACAGCAAAACTGTCTCAAAAAAAAAAACAAAAAACACTTTAGGTGTATTATAGATGAATTAAGAACACACACACACACACGCACACGCGCGCACACGCACACATACACTCATTTTGAGAATATCTCACATTGGCACTAATTGCAGCGATTAAAAACATAAGACTCCAGACCTGGACTGTCTGTGTTTAAATTCTTTTTCTGCCATTTACTAGACACAATTAGGGCAAATTAAACTCTCTGATTTCTCTTTTCTCATTTCCAAAAAGGAGATTTTCAAAGTACTTAAATCATAGGGTTGCACAGGGGTTAAATAAGCTAATACAGGTCGGCCGCTTAAAACAGAGCCTGGAACATAGTAAGTGCTCAATAAACATTCTACCATCACCATCATCAACATGTATCCATCAATTGCTTTCCTGACATCCAAAGCTAAAAAATCTTTTTTCAATATCAAACAGAAAGAGAATTCAACCTCTTAGGAAAACAGAAGTTTGTAAACAGACCAGTATCATCTATTTGAATAGATGGATTTGTTCTATCTATACATTATAGCAACAGGTAACTACCAAAAAAAAAGTTAACTACAAAAAAAAGGGTGAAAACCCACACAAGTGTAAAAAACGAAATGCCTCAAAGTTTGCCTCTATCAGTTACAAGAATTCTAGAATTGGAGGATGAAAAAACAGAAATGAATAAGGGAAAGAGATTGGGGAAAACACTCTTCTCCTTAGAGCTCCTTCATCTACGAATGTGTTCCAGAAAACCTTTTATATAAAATACACCAACTTCTACTTCCACATGACAGCACCTCATTTTAAAGCTAAAGCAAATGTTCTTACCCATCACCCTCAGAACACTGCTTCCACCAGAGCACACATACATCTGGAGATAACATTCAAAATAAGCCCAGGATTAGCTGAGCCGTACCTGGATACAACCACTTGGTATATACATCTGTGTGGCTCCTACTCTAAAGAAACAATTATTTCTTCACTTGAAAACATACTCTTAACTCTAGAAAACCTTATTATATTAATACTTTATAAAAATTGCTTCTTACATATTCTATCATCCTCCCAAGATCAGACCCACCCAGGTTACATGATCATTTAGAAAAAAGCATCTTTCTCCCACCCAAAAACCGAAATCCTCAGAACATCTTTCCTTACCATCCTTCCAAAAATACACTTCTCAGAATATAACATCAACTTTTCTAAGTCTCTCCTCCCTTAAAACAAAACCCTTAAAAGATCCTTCTACTTATGATGTATGCGACTGCTTACAAACACTAGGGGGAAGACAGAGTAGGTAGAAGGTAGAGAAGGGAATTAGGGCGGGAGGGTGGAAGAGAGAACATAGGAGAAAAGAGACTGTCCATGTAATAACAACTGATGGAGTTGTGTGATAGTTACATCAAGTTCCTTGTATCATTCTAGTTTTGAAAGTTGGGAAATTTCTATTAATAAAATCTTATAACTAAGAAAATACATACACCGTCAGGTTTATAGTGCCACCCTTCACTATAAACTGACCTATCTCTTCAAGGCACAATGGCCTCCTCAGGAATATACTGCTCTCCTCTGGAGACTCACCCAGTGTTCATAATTTAAATGAGGACAGATTTTTCTCAAATATTATGTCATCCTCCATCTGTGGACAAGTTCTTTTAAAAGCTATCATACTACAAGATATTTCTTTCAGTCTTGGAAATATCCTACCACTCAGCATATACCTTCCCCTGAAATAATGACAATGAACTACCCTATAAGTTAACAAACTTCTAGCTTTCCATTCAACAAAATTGTCAGAAAGTTTGATTCATGCTAAGAAGGCAAGGAAACAATAATTACTGTTGACCCGGTAAATCTGAAAATTAACCTGCATAAAAAAAGTTTCTAGTAAAAGATGATAAAAATTTTAAACTAATGCAATTTTATCTGAGTTCCTGCTAACTGGGGAGGAAAAAAAACCAAGCAAAAACATTTAAATACACATTAAAAAGTTCAACTGTAGAAAATATCTTTAAAAAGACATTAAAGTCTTCAGAAAACTTTCATTATCAGAACATACTAAATAAGGTATAATCACAGATTAGCTTATCTGTTTATGTCTTTATGTCTATCTCTTCCCACTGAAATATTTTATGAAGAAAGGACCTTATCTGTCTTGTTCCCCACTTATATCCCCATTGCCTTCGACAGTACCTGGCTCTCAATAGGTGTGGAATAACAATTTGTTAAAGAAATGAATGAGCAAATAAATTTCTTCTTAAATAAGATGGCTTCATTAATTCCATTTCAATGATTAGAAGTGTTCTCAGAAAAAAAAAAAAAAAAAAAAAAAAAAAAACTAGACTAAAAAGTCAGTGCAACATGAGTTTAAATGGCATTCACACCTGTATAGTTCCAAACTAGCATATTCCATTCAACATGGGTAAAATATAAGTGATATATCTTAAGTTCAAATACACAAAATATGCAATGTGAAAGGGTCATGAAAGATAAACAAGAGCAGTTCAATAGAAACTGGATATCATCCAGGGATTGCCTGTTTTATTAGTACAGGTAAGTTATTATTGATCTCAGCAAAGTACAGTAGAGATAGGGCTGTAGTACAAATTTTATCCCTACGTGTAGCAAAGTTTTCTGAAAATGAAAGCTCTTCCCTATTACTGATGACATTTTTTCTCATTAATCAGAAAATTACCTAAAATGAGCTCTACTGTTAAAATCCAAGTACATAAGTGCAGTTAAAATACTCCAACAAAAAGCAAGCAAAAGTATGAAAAAATGTAGTAACTTTTAGGTCAAAAATAATGATAAACATCTCCCTTTAAACTAGAATAGCATAGCCTTCATTTGATTTAGTGATGGTATGCATTCAATGATTCCCTTTTAAGTTATACTTTTTATAAAATGCATATCATAAAGCATATCAAAGTTCTAAGAAAAAACTGTCAACAGTTTATATCTCAAGTTTATCAAATTAAAGTTTGCTAGTATTCCTCATGAGACTCCGACAAACAACTTTCTCATTTCATAAATTCAACTAAACCAAATTTCACCCCATAAAATACCCTGGAAATAATTATGTATTCTACCTAAATGAAAAGAAAAGAGATTTCTCTTTTATTTTGCAATATAATATGTTCTGCCCAAGAATTTTTTTTTAAAGGTTACACTTAGCAAAACCTGATTCTCCCAATGACTTACAAACTTTTAAAACCCAAACTAAACTCACTTTTAGGCTTTCAGAACGATTTGCTGATAAAAATGCAAAAGAAACTTTTAATTTTTAAAGTTTCAATGAAACAATGTCATGACAACAAATCTAGTATTCTATTTTTTCCTTTCTCTTCAGTTCTAAACATTTACAGACCATAAGAGTATACTAACTGCAGGATGCCTTGAAAAAGAAGGAAAACGAACTGAGCGACTGATCTTGTGGAAATGATTTAAGGTGACATTTGCAGTACTTTTTTTAAGGGATCAAGCAGGGGAGACCTCTTGTTTGTACAAGCTTTTAGGTTCATAACTGGCTTATGCTGGGGAAAATTATAGCCCGCTTAAGAATGACTACTAGGGGAGGAGGGAAAAAAAACTAGAAAGAAAGAGAAGGCAGAGGGGCTCTGATGGAGGGCAAAGCTACTGGGGACGAAGAGGGGTATACCTGGTTCACAACATCCGTGATGATGGTGGTCAGTCTGACAGTATTTGTCCCTTAAAGGCATTTTCAGTGGACTCGACCTACTTTCCTTTCACTGTAAGAAGCTCTTCATTGCGGCGCGGCTGTTGAAAGAAGCACAAACCCGTCACTCGCCCTGAACTTTCTGGGGGGCACTGGCTGCATTTTCCAGATACGTTCCCAGCACCAGCCCTCCACTTTCCCTCCAAGGATCCGCACCTCTCTCGAGAAGAAGAAAACAGAAAGACGCATAAACCCTCCTGCAGCCCAAACTCCCCACATAGGTTCATCGCCCTACCCGGAAACGCAGCCTCGGGTGCGCAGCGAGGGCGAAGGCCTGGCCGGCTGCGCGGGCGGCTGCGGCCTCGCCGTCCCGGGCGCGCGGAGAGGGAGCGCGGTGCGCGGCGGCCACCGCCGGGCTCCGGTACGACTGAGGTGCCGCTCCCGCCGGCTGCCGGCCCACACCGCGCCCTCCCGCCACGCACGTGCGTTGGGGTCTCCCTGGAGGAGACCCAGTCCCCCCAAACAAGTGCGCCCAACTTACTCAACTCCTAGGGCGGGCCGGCGGGCGGGCGGAAGGAAGGAAGGCCGGGCGGCTGCGGGGACAGCCTGGCGTGGAAGGCGGCTGCGGGCCCCACCTGGCGCAGCCTCCGCTGACCACGCGAGGGAACCGGGGCTCGGGCCGGACGCGCTCCCAAAGAGTCCCCGCCGGCGCTGACGCGGAAGCGCCACAGCTCACCACGTCTCTCCGCTGGCCGAGGCGACGGCGGCGGCGCCTCACGGCGTCCTCCGCGCTGTGTGGCTCGGCGGGCGGCGCGCGGGTGCAGGCAGTTGACAGGAGGAACCGCCCGGGAGCAGCCGCCGCCTCCACCAAAGAAGCCGGAACCGGAGCTGGCAGGACCTGAGGCGCCCCTCGCAGGGGCAACGGCTATTGCCGCAGCCGGGGTCTCCCCAGCGCCGCTCCACCTGCAACGGTCCCTCAGGCTTAGGAGAGGGGCGGGGAAGAATGGGGGTCTCCCCCCACCGTGGGCCTTTTCGGTGGAAGTTGTTGTTTGAGGAAACTTTATTAAGTCAGCCTCTCTTTTTCTCTGTCGCCCTCTCCCCCGGAGAGTCCAAGCTACCGCCGCGGAGCGCGTAGGAAGGGAGAAGCACAGACTCTCCGGCAGCGACAGGGAGCGACTGACTGACCCCGGACGGAGATGGGGCGAGGGCAGGAAGTGACAAGCTCACCGAGTGGGTGGGGGGAGTGTGGCCGGCACGCCCGGGAGCGTCGCGCGCATGCGCCCGGCCAGCACACCAGCCTGTGGAGAGGAGACGCGCTTTGCCCGCCGCGACCGGTGGGGAAGGAACAGGGGCCGGGGGCTCGAGGGCCGCGTCCGAGAGCGGGGAACCGGGGCAGGGGACACCAGCGGCGCAGCCGGTGTCTCGGGCGGACAGAGAGCAGAAGTCCGGGGTGAGATGTGAGACCCGCGGTGCGGCGAGCGCGCCCTGGAGACTGGCTGGTCGGCCACCAAACTGTTGATCTGGCTGTTCTCTGTCTAGTGGAACTGAAACTCGGGGAGGGTTGGGAGAGGACTTAAGAAGCGGAGGGCAGATGTAGGAGCCATAAGTACTGATGATCCCCAAAAGGCTGTCAGTGCATTGCTAAATGGCAACAGCTGAACTTATTTTTTTCGTGCCAACAATTTTCGAAGCACGCCTCCCGGAACTTGGAGGGTCTTTTATCAGACCCAAGAAAGGGAACGTATCGGTAGCAGATGGGTATTTGTCCCGGCAGCTCCGCTCCTCAAACATGAAAGTGAAGGTGGGTCACGTGGGCTCACGCACTTTCCCTCCTCTTCTGCTCCCGCATTCTGCTTCGAAAATCCCCGATCGCAGTTGTCTGTCAAATTCTGCCGACCCGTGGCCGCTTCTTGGGGGAAAGGGAGCCGCCCCTGTCGTTTTCTTCCCAGCTCCTGGAACGCAACTCTTGCTCCTGGTGACTTGAAGCAAACATGTGTCCACTGTCGGTCAGGAAATTTTAAGAGAATAAAGCCCATTCGCCTTATCTCCGATCCTCCTCAAGAGCAACTGAAAGCCTTTCCAGGCCGGGCGCAGTGGCTCAATCCTGTAATCCCAGCACTTTGGGAGGCCGAGGCGGGTGGATCACGAGGTCAAGAAATCGAGACCATCCTGGTCAACATGGTGAAACCCCATCTCTACTAAAAATACAAAACATTAGCTGGGCATGGTGGCGCGTGCCTGTAATCCCAGCTACTCAGGAGGTTGAGGCAGAAGAATTGCCTGAACCCAGGAGGCGGAGGTTGCGGTGAGCCGAGATCGCGCCATTGCACTCCAGCCTGGGTGACAAGAGTGAAATTCCGTCTCAAAAAAAAAAAAAAAAAGAAAGCCTTTCCAGTTGGTCCAAATTAAGCTGCCATTGTGTGGGGTCCTGAAAAACTGAAGTTTAGTAAATAGACTGTCTTTTAGAAGAGAAAAAGTTCAATTGAGTTTTCAAAAATCCAAAGGAAAGTTTGTAAATTGATACATTTGTTAGTTTTTAAATGTTGGGCTAGGCACGGTGGCTGGTGCTTGTAATCCCAGCATTTTGGAAGGTCAAAGTGGGAGGATCGCTTAAGCCCAGGAGTTAGAGAGCAGCAGCCTGGGCAGCAAAAGCCGGTCAGGATGGCGCGTGCCTATGGTCCCAGCTACAGGAGAGGCTGAGGCAGGAGGATCACTTGGGTCCAAAAGGTGGAGCGTTTGCATAGGTCTCTGGGAATTGCAGCAGCTTGATTATGGGGGATGACAAGAAAGGGATAGAAAAATGATCTTAACACTTAACAGTGACATAAGTGATATGTATGATCATATATCTATCCCTTAGTTGAGAAGTATCACCCAATGTGAGACTAAAATATGAAATGCCACGGTTTGTAAATTAATGTAAAATAAGTTGTAATACTTCTGTGATAGTGTTTGTTATGCAGCCAATAAAAACCACATTTTGTATAATATTTGGTTGTGTGGAATATGCTAAAGCTACAAAAAGAAAGTATTTTGAAATGTGATACTTTAACAGCGGGCCATAAGTGCAATTACGAATGATTTTTATTTTCTTTATTTTTTTGTATACTTTGCAAAATTTATAAATTAAGCATATAAAACTTTAATAAACAGAAAAATTAACTTTGAAACTCAGTAGGAAGGCTGTAATAATATGAAAATGGTATAGACTAATAAAGCACAAAAGATACAAAATTAAGTATACATTATGAATGTCTCTAAAAAACGCAGTGAAAAAAGACTGAAAGAAACATAAAAATATCTACATTGGAGATACCTTGAGTGGTAAAATTTGTGGTAAAATATTTTCATTTTCAGAGGGTCTTTTATGTAATAAATATATTTATCATAAGCTTAAAATGAATATGCAATTCTAAATTTCCCTAACCCTGAAAAAGCTTTGCTTCAGATATATCAGTTTGCTGACCAGGTGTGAGTAAAAAAAAAAAACGTTTTGTGAGCCAATGTAGTATTCATATTCTAATGCAAAGTGGCCAGTACTAGAGGGTCCTCAAAATTGCTTGCTAACAGAATAAGTTTAGACAATCTCAGAAAAATTAGAATTAGAGTCTAGATTGAAATGTGTATGTGGGTAAAACAAATATTAAACATATCTGTATAAAAATGAATAACATTTTAAAGATTAAAATAAACCATGGAAGTTATCTAGTAAACCTTGTTTTATAGATGAGAAAACTGAGACCCAGAGAGATTAAGTAATGTGCCAGTCAGTAGGAACTTGGGGTCAGGACCTAGATTACTCCCTACTATGACAACAGTACTACTAATTGACATATATTGAGTAGTTAATATGTTTTAAGCTCAATATTAGCTCATTTAATCCTATCAATTTAATGAGGCTTCACTATCCTTCCATTCTACAGGTGGGAAAAGTGAGGTAAAGAGAGGTTAGATGACTTACCAAGTGATATGGTTTGGCTATGTCTCCACCCAAATCTCATCTTGAATTGTAACCCCTATAATCCCCAAGTGTTGTGGGAGGGACCCAGTGGGAGGTAATTGAACCATGGGCGTGATTCCCCCCATGCTGTTCTCCTGATAGTAAGTGGGCTCTCCTGAGATCTGATGCTTTTATAAGCATCTGGCATTTCCCCAGCTAGCACTCATTCTTTCTCCTGTTGCCTTGTGAAGAGGTGCCTTCTGCTATGATAGTAAGTTTCCTGAGGCCTCCTTAGCCACACATAACTAGTGAATCAATTAAACCTCTTTTCTTTATAAACTACCCAGCCTCAGGTATTTCCTTATAGCAGTGTGAGAATGGACTAATATACCAAGCTAGATAGGTAGCTGAGCCCCCGTTTGACCCCAAGCAGTTTGGGTCTGGAACTCATGAACTTAGCCATCACGCCGTACTGTCTATACTATGCTGCCTTCACTATGCCATAGCTATCTTGGTTCACATTATATGTGAAAGATGAGCCAGTAGATCCTGCCAGTTGTGCAAGGTATTGCATATTAAAATGCTATGTGCAAGTTCATGAAGTGGAAATGGAGTTGCTCAATTAGAAAATTTTTTTTTTTTTTTTGAGACGGAGTTTCGCTCTTGTTACCCAGGCTGGAGTGCAATGGCGCGATCTCGGCTCACCACAACCTCCGCCTCTCGGGTTCAGGCAATTCTCCTGCCCCAGCCTCCTGAGTCGCTGGGATTACAGGCACGTGCCACCATGCCCAGCTAATTTTTTTATTTTTAGTAGAGACGGGGTTTCACCATGTTGACCAGGATGGTCTCGATCTCTTAACCTCATGATCCACCCGCCTCGGCCTCCCACAGTGCTGGGATTACAGGCTTGAGCCACCACGCCCGGCCTCAATTAGAAAATTTTAATTGAGATTTCACAGGAACCTTAGACATCATCTAGAATTATCACCCTAGCTGTAAAAACAATGCACACAAACCATCCCAAAAAATGATCTCACTTCCCTTTCATTGTTCACTGCAGCAACCTAGGTGACACATTACTTTTTTATCCTTAAAAGTCTAGCAGTACATTGTAATGGTTAATGTAAATACATTTTATAGTTTAAAATTCTCTCATCCTCAAGGTGACAGAACACTATCTCTCATACACACGTATGCATATACAGTATATTATTGCTGCATCGCCACCCCAGAATTGGTGGCTTAAAGCCATTTTATGTGCTCTCAATTCTGAAGATTAGTAATTTGGGCTGGCCTTGTCTATGGTCACTCACACAGATGCTACAGTCACCTAGCAGCTTGACTGGGTGTACTCACATGGTATTTGGTGTTGGCTGTTGGCTGGTCCTCTCTTCTTGTAGCCTTTCATCCTCAAGGAGAGTGGCCTGGGTTTCCTCATATGGTGGCAGCATGCCAAGCCAGTACAGATTAGAAATTACAAGATTTCTTGAGGCCCTCAGTTCAGAATTTATATGCTATCACTTCCACTACATTTCGTTAGTCAAGTCAAAGAGCCAGCATAAATTCAGGAAGTAGGGCCAGGCGCGGTGGCTCACGCCTGTAATCCCAGCACTTTGGGAGGCCGAGGCAGGTGGATTACGAGGTCAAGAGATTGAGACCAACCTGGCCAACATGGTGAAACCCCGTCTCTACTAAAAATACAAAAAATCAGCTGGGCATGGTGGCACGTGCCTGTAATCCCAGCTACTCAGGAGGCTGAGGCCTGAACCCAGGAGGCGGAGGTTGCGGTGAGCCAAGATCGCGCCATTGCACTCCAGCCTGGGTAACAAGAGCAAAACTCTGTCTCAAAAAAAAAAAAAAAAAAAAAAAAAAAAAAAAAAAAAAATTCAGGAAGTAGAGACTTAGACTCACATCTTGCTTGGAGAAGCAGCAAAATCACTTTGCAAAAGAATATGCATTCAGGAATAGGAGGAATGATTGTAATGATTTTCACATTTGATTTATCACACTGTATAATTATTTTAAGAATGATATTAACTAATTGAAGCTGCTGATTTTTTTAAATGCTTTAAGAAAGTAAAACAAGGAAACATTAGACTTATTCTTTAAACTGACTGAGTCATTAGACTTATTCCTGGTAAAACAAGGAAACATTAGACTTATTCTATAAATAAACTTTGGTGATTCCTTAAGTTTTCCTGCTGGACTTGTTTTTCCCATCATTTTGTTGTTTTAAGATTCATTCTTAGTTTTACATCTATTCTAAGCAGAACCTACTA